TGTTTGTGATTTCTAACATCTGCCCTCTAGATATCTCTATGTATGTTTTGTCAATACACTTATTCTTTTTAATAAGCCTGTAAGTATATCAGGAGGTCTAATTTAGATGCTAAGTGGTGTTCTTTCTATTATGTACTCAAGTTTAAGAACGAATTCTTCTCAGTAATAAATTTCCTCCATCAAAAACAGACTGAATGGAATCAAAGTTGCCCACACATTCTTTTTTTTCTCGGAAAATTCTATTTGCCTATTTGCCACCATCCCACCCACTCGGCATTCGCATTTGAGAAGAGCTAAATAAGTCACACATTTGAAAATGTCATGCTTGTCTAATTTTATAGACATAAATATATACTTCTTTCTTTGCAGTTTAAGGAAAGTAAACAATATGGCACATTTCAGAAATTTGGCAAGTTCTATGTTATTGTTTTAGAGCACATGTAGCCTTCCATTACAGCAATTTCCCTATACAATGTCATAATAAAAGCCATTCAGTTCTCATTGCAATGCTCCGTAAGGAGGCTGGACACAAATAACAGCACTTGATGCTTCATAAATATAATTAATGGCTTAAGAAAAATTCTTAATTATAGCTTTTCCTTTGCCATAGATTCATCAAAAGTGTAGGAAAGGGTTGAACTGTGCATTTGAGAGTCCGAAAGTTTTTTCAGTACATTTCAAGACAAAATGTATATTATGTAGTTATTACTAAGAGAGTCTGGCAAAAAATTAATTTAAGATAATTTATCAGAAGCGTTTGAACTTAGGAAGATGAGTTGATTTTAGAGAATCATATTTGACACATCTCTAAATGAGAACCGTGGTAAATCATATCAGATAATTTTGTTTCGCCTTAATCATATTAAAGAGTATTATTTTTCCATGAATAATCAATCCCTTCCTAACCATTGTTGGTTCCTCTGTTCCTTATAAGTGACCCTTTCACAATAAAATTTAATATAGTGTTTGAAATCAATCTATCAATCTTCAATCAATCATTTCTGTCATTTCTCTTATCTTATAATTACCTGCTTACAAGTCAAGTGTTCTTTTTAGCTGTCTTTGTTCCCCATCCCTTAACTTGTCTCTTTTCTAGGGAGGGAACACCACTACTTAGTAAAAAAGCCAAGTGACATGGGGATTTCTTAGTATTCTCCTTCCTCCTGCTCATCAGGACCCTGCCAGTCCTGTTCCTTTGACCAACACATGGTTCTTCATCTTCTACACCTCCTCATCTCTACCCTCCCCATTCCAGTTCACCATCCTCACCCCTATCCTCCCTATCCCAGCTCACCATCATCTCCATCCTCACCATCTCAGCTTACTATCCTCATCTCCATTCTCCCTATCCCAGATCACCATAATCATCTCCATCCTCCCCATTCCAGCTCATCATCATCATCATCATCATCATCATCATCATCATCATTGTCATAAAAACCCTGAAAGGGTCTACCTGTCCTTCACACTCCCTTCTACCCCAACTACTTTCCTAAGCAGAGACCAATCTATTAAATACACTCCCACACTACTGAGAACTCAAGAGCAATGGCAATGTGTTTCTGATCCTACTGCACGCACTGGCTTTGTGGGAGCCTAGGCTGTTTGGATGCTCAACTTACTAGACCTGGATGGAGGTGGGAGTTCCTTGGACTTCCCACAGGACAGGGAACCCTGATTGCTTTTCGGGCTGGGGGGGGGGACTCAATTGGGGGAGGGGGAGGGAAATGGGAGGCGGTGGCGGGGAAGAGACAGAAATCTTTAATAAATAAATAAATTTTTTTAAAAAAATAAATACACTCCCACAATCTTCATGAATGCTCTTTCTATTTTCCCCTTAAATATGACAGTGTAGACACCCCAAGACCGTTCTGGTGCTGTCCTCTCTTCTGGACATGTTCACACCCATTTTTGTATCTCCCAAATGTCTGACTGTTCTGCCTCATCAGTCATTACTGTGCTATCTTCTTTGTGGTCCTTTCTACAATTTAATATTTAACAAAGAATTGATAAATTGATAAGGATTTTTATGTTTATGGAAAAGTAGGGTAGAAAATACAGAGTTCCTATATATATATCTGTTTTATAAATATCTTGAGTTGGTGTAGTACATTTGTTATATTTATTTATTTATTTTTTATTTTTATTTTTTTTAGTTTTTTGAGACAGGGTTTCTCTGTAGCTTTGGAGCCTGTCCTGGCAATAGCTCTTGTAGACCAGGCTGGTCTTGAACTCCCAGAGATCTGCCTGCCTCTGCCTCCCGAGTGTTATATTTATTTTTATTTTTAAATTTTAATTAAAAAATATCCTAGAACTCCCTTTGTAGAACAGGCTATCCTAGAATACATAAAAATCCACTTGCCTCTGTCTCCTGAGTTCTGAGATTAAAAGCATGTGCCACAATGCCTCACTAAAACATTTTTTATTTTTATTTATTTTATTTTTTTATATTTGTAATAATGGATGAACTAGTATTGATTTATTATTACGATAGGCACAGTATAGATGAGGTCACTTTTAGTGGTATGCATTTTACACATTTGATGAATTCATAATGCCATGCAATCATCACAACACAGAAGTTCATTGCCATAAAATCTATATCCTCCATACAAAATCTTCATCTGCCATGTCTTGACATTCAGGGATCCTTTCAATATCTTCATTGTTTTGTGTTTCTCAGGATGTCAAACAGATGAAATCATGTAGTATGTGTATTATTTGATATTTTAAAAAACGTTAAACTTTGTATTTCTTTCCATAATAAAAACTTCAGCGAACAGTGACTTTATGTGTCTTATCCTTTCCTTTCCCACAGTAGACCCTCTGCATGAATATGTTGCCTATGGATACGTTGCCTGAATGAGTGGATGAACCTGCAACAAACCCAACAGCTGTCATCCATACTTTTTTTTTTTTTTTTTTGGTTTTTCGAGACAGGGTTTCTCTGTGTAGCTTTGCCTGTCCTGGAACTAGCTCTTGTAGACCAGGCTGGTCTCGAACTCACAGAGATCCGCCTGCCTCTGCCTCCCGAGTGCTGGGATTAAAGGCGTGCGCCACCACCGCCCGGCTCATCCATACTTTTGAAACATTCCTTTCTTGATTTGTTCTAGTAACATTGGAACAGGCTTATTCAGTTTGAGACATTGATGTTTTGCCAATATTTGAAAGGAAGAGTTGGCCTTGGACCGAAGAAGTTAAGGGTATAGTCATAATAGGTCCTTTAGTTCGAGACCGGTGCATGGTTGTATCCAGTCATGTGGGTTATCTGCACATCCCTTTGTCACAGTCACTGAATCTGAAACGTATCTTACATGTCAACATAAGCTCTGTTCTTCTTCTGCTCTTTACTTCCCTGCCTATGGCCTGGCTTCCCCCAGGACTCCCCTCACTCTTGTCTTTATCTTGAATCCTACTCACAAATCATTAGGAAACCTTCAGGGTTTATCACTGTCCACTCTTCCTCACTTCTCCTCAATTCCTCTGTTTCCTCACTAGAGTGAGGGGGATTGAACACAGGGGCTGGTAAGCTTCCAGCAAGTGTTCTACTGAGCTCAGGCCAGCTCCTTCATTCCCTCGAATCTGTGAAACAGAGTAACTCTAATTGTGACTGACAAGATAGAGAATAGAGTTGGAGATTCCCTGTGATGAGGCAAAAAGAATCATACATATTATATATCCACGAGAAGGAACTACACCCTTTAAACCAGTCAGAAGTTTCTCCTATGGTTTCTGTAAAACTTTCAACATTTTTCATCAAAATTCTTTTCCTTAATATCCACCACTTAAGATATGAAATCGCTTTTAAATTTACTTCTTAAATTATTGCTTTGATTATTGGATCAATTTCTGGAATTCAATTTCTGACCCCAAAGGACATCGTTTGAATCCCTTATGGCGGGAGTTTTAGAATGTTCCTGCTATTTCTGTATTTTGAGATCTTAGAAATATGCCTGTTTTCACTCTCTGACCTTATTTGTATCCCTCGAGTTCAGATCCGCTGCTCCTCTCTTTCCTCTAAGACTGAGTCTCAATCTTTCTGACATAAATCTGTTTCCAGAAGCAAGAATACAAATGCATAAAACAGCGCTGGGCCACACTGTTGACTGTAGCTAGCGTCATTAGCATTGTGTCTTTGGAGGGGATGTGCAAAGCAAAAGAGGAAGCATTTCTCAAAATATGCAAAATAAAAAGAACATAACACATAGGAAAAGATATTAAACCCATTTGTAAACTTCAAACACTATGCTATGTCACAAGATTTCAAATAAAAAAAAAAACTCCACCACATTCAATTTTGAAGATAACCATTAACTCATTCCATACCAAATTCAATACCAAAACCTGGTCTAACTTAGTGGGTTGGGTTTATTTGGGGTTTTACTTTTTGAAATCAGGATTATGCTTTGTCGTTTACGTAGCATGACCTGTAGAACAATTGCAGGGCGTATTTTCATTCTTATATATTATTCATTCAACTGGAAATGAGGTAACAGTGAGTAGGTTACCTTCAAGGCTATAATCACTTCCATTAATGCCTGCCGTTTCTTAGAATACCTTCAAGGCCATTTAAAATAAGGAAGTCAATGCTTCCCTTGGGAGAAAGCTTTGCCCCAAAGACATACTTCTTCAAATTTTTTTTTCTATCCTCCATAAAACTGACATTAGAGGAGCAATAAAGCCAGCCCAAAGTGTGCACATGAGACCTCAGTGACGTTAAGGGTTACAGTGACCTCAGTAAATCTAACTCTTCACACGGGGCTGCTCTAGATTCTGAGCACTTGAATGCAGTCAAGTTTCACTATAGAGGTCAGCGTCCACACTTCCATACACGGTATTCGTAATCTATCGTCCCCCGCCACACAACAGTCCCATGCTAACAGGCGAATAGGCTGGCTTCTGCCTTTCGTCTTTTCAGCATTCATTCGAGAGGCAAACTATCTACGATTATTAAACAGTGGGATCCGTAAAGGAGAAGACATACAGAGAAGCAAACTTACCATCAGACAGGTTACTATAATAACAAAGATGCTGAGAAAAATGACAACAGCGTAAAATCCTTCTTTGCTCCAGATTTTGTCCGCTTCGTGCTGCCCTTGCAAAACATTTTTCTTTAAAAAGCAAAACAGAAAGCCCGGTGTTAAAGGAGAGCTTGAGGGAACTGGCGCTCTTATCAGACTGTCAACATACTCTTAGCTCGATTCCATTCAGTGTAGTAAAACACACCTCTACCCCCATCTGCCACAGCTGCTGAGGCATCGGACAGACATCCTCTGTATCAGAAGATCCTGTAAGGGAGGGGATGGGCATAGGGAACAGACTTCTGCGTGCTCGCCTCCCTCCACGTTCCGCACTGCCTCTCTTGGAAACTACCTGGTTCACAGGTGAGCCGGCTTTGTGCTTTTCTGGGCCGAGGCACTGTTTCTGAAGCTCTCTGTACTCCGAGTCCCCTCCCACGTCCACACTGCCTTACAGCTCCGCTCGTTCAAACAAAAGTGAAACAGGTGCAAGCAAAAAGCTCGTGATGGTTTAATAAACAAGCCACGATCTTGGGACCATTTCTGTTTTGTTTGCTTCTTTCTTTAATCGTATCATTTTCCTCCTTAAATGGAACTTAACTTTGTCAAAACCTGACTCAGGGAGCATCCCACATAGAAATTGCCTGGATATTATGTTTGATTTAAAAGAACAGGGAACACCCACAAGGTCAGAATTATTTAGTAATGAATGATAAATAAATAGAATTATTTTCATTTTTCTGGCTTTTGCTCCTTGCTTTGGTAGTGGGGCTAGAGAAGAAATATAAATTAGACGTGCCTGTCTCTTGGCTCATTTACCCATTCTTCAAAACAGGACAGTACGTTGGTGGATGCTCTGAATTTTTCTTTTCTGCCTTAGAAATGCTCTCTTTTTGTAGCTCAGGATGGCCTTGAACTCAAGGCCATCTTCTTGCCTCAACTGCCTAGGTTCTGGGATCACAGGCATAGAACACCATACCTAAATATGAAAATGTTCTGTAAGTTAGTGATATTGTAAAATTATATGTAAAGAAGTCTTGAAAAAACTTAGGTGGTATCTGAGTAGGAAAAAAATTAAACCTCTATCAAGCAAAATACTCCCATTCACTTTTAAGACCGTTTTACAATCCTCAGGCAAGGCACGTGCCTATCCTTGAGTATCAAGTCCAAAGACGAAGAAAGTCCCAAATTAAACCTATATTCTAGGTGCCTAAATTTTGAGATAATTTCTAGTTATTTTTAAGGTTAAAAAAAGCACAGTTAGCCCTTTCAAATTAGATTAAAAATATTTACCTTAAAAACCACTTTGTGGAAATTTTAATCCCTGCACACAATCAAATTTTCGTAGAAAGATGAGCAAGAAAACTTTGAATTCAATTACAATGCTGCAAACCACTTGGGGAGAGACTTATTTAGGTACTCATGATACAACCTTTCACTTTTCCTAGTCAGATGGATAGGTAAGGGAATATATATATATATATATATATATATATATATATATATATAAGTAAAAATTCTGTTAATACTTGGTTCAGTGAGATGATTGGTAACTCAGGACTCTGCTGGAAATACTGTGTCCCAGCTAGGCTTTTTTTTTTTTTAAACACAGCTAGAAGCTAATAGAAAAGAAAACTATTGTCGGAATCAAGAATAGAATTGAAGTTTTTCTCAGGCAACTAAATGGCATCCATTGTTTGCTATAAAGGCAAACTAGTTAAGTCTTCACTGAGGCAGCATGCATTTGTCAAATTTAAGTACAAAGGATTTGGGTTTCAACTCATGTGGAATTTGAAGAAAGGGTGGGAAGGAAGCAAGTGCTGTGCTCCAAATGTGGTTGGGTCCATTTTCCTCCTGGAGGCTCTACAGTTCTCAAAGCACAAACATGTTCCTTTCTGTGGAAGACAAATCTGTTTTGATTCTTTTCTTTTTAAAAGTGAAGCACCGATAATGGAAGAATTATCCTGCCCCCTCCCGTACCCCACCCTTGGCTAAGAAAATAAAATAAGACTCTTGTTTTGAACTGGAACTTAGTCACCGCACATTCTTGGTAAATAGATTTTCTTCTGAGTCACACTGTCCCTGCTGAGTGCTGCTATATCTGTACGGAGATCTAAACAGCCCGATAAGGGCTGGTAATAAAGGAAAAGTTTATAGTCGAGAGCCCACACATCAAAAGATTGCAATTCCCAGTAACCTCCCATCTAGCCTTTGCATAGGGTGAACCCAATGGCCCTTAGATTTTTGTCAGGGCTATGGGTTCAATAATTCACAGACTCCCAGGCCGGGCCAAGCTAATGCCATCCCAACATCTTTATGACTGATGTCGTAGCTGTGTTGCCCTGCCCTTTAGGGGCAGTGAAATTAGCTGCTGTGTTTTATTGTTTAAAAAATGGAGACATTTCCTTTGTCTATGATGATGACCTCCTTAGCTGCTCTGTAACTCGATATCATGTAGTTGGTTCTGCCCTTCGCTCCACCTCCCCCAACTTCTTTCGCTCTTTGTTTCTCTTCGCCTTTTCCATTTTCTTTCCAGTTCCTCATATCAGGGAAGATGGTCCAGAGGCAGGGATGACAGGAGGCACAGCTTGTTGGGGGAGATGAAGCCTAAAGGATGAAATGGAAATGTTCTAAACGGTCTGGCTCATTTGATGAGGGCAGATCGAGGAGATGCACCTCACAATGGTCTGGTTTGGTTGGATTACCACTAGATGTCAAGTGTATTTGGCACAATGCAAGCACTTGATCTGCACCTGATCCAGTATTCCAAGGCCAATGCTACATGCCTTCAGAATGGTATGCCAAGTCTGGAACTCTTTACGCTTGCCTGCTGGCTAATGTTCCGAGTTTGAAGGAACGACCACCCAACTCACAAACTGTGGTTCCTATTTTACACAATATGACTTTTCTCTTTGTAAATATTCCATCAGTTCTTCAGCCTGTTATTTAAGGAAGGCAACTTCCTCTTTTGAAATGCAGTTGTGAGGAACTGGAGTAATTTGCAAATAAAGAAAAATAAAAACCTAAATAATGTGGAACTTAATGCTTTAATAAATAGCTAACAATTTCTGGAAAATTGTAAATAAGATAAAAACTAAAAAGGTGAATATAATTTTATTTCTCTGGAACTTATGGTGAAAGAGGAAGTATTTTTTATCTTTACAAGTTTCTTATAATAAAACAGTATGTGCTTACAGTGTTCTAGGTACCACATACCTAGAACATATATGTAAATATATGTTGTATATGATGTGATGGCTCCCGTCTGTAGCCCCAGCACTGGGAAGCCTGAGGCAGGAGGATTATCAAGAGACCTAGGAGATCTTAAGATCCTGGACAGCTAGCTACAGAGTGACACCCTGTCTTAAGACCCTTTACTTCAGCAAAGAAAGAAAAGAACTCTTTCCCTCAAGAAACTCAGATTGGAAACAGATGATTAACCAAGTTAGTTCTCTATTTGGTATTTCTCTTTGGTTTCTGAGTCATTTCCAGGAAAAAAAAACAACAACAACAACAACAACAACCCAGGAACATAAAGAAAGGGTAGCAAAAACACATTGTTCCATGAAGGTAATTATCATAAGTTTAGGAATAGATGTTTTGAAACATCGGTGTGAAACACTGCAAACGGATGGACTGTAGTATTCTTTCCCCTCCGGTGAATGGCTATACTGCCGTAATAAGATACATTTTCAGGATTGCTAGGTAAGGCAGGGTTGAGACACAAACATAAACAAAAGCCTTAGCTGTGGGAGAAGAATCAAGATGGGAAACCTAGAGAAGAGCCCTGGAAGGCTCACAGCTCTCTTCCTCCTGCAACGCCCCTCCTGCTGAACGTGAAACAAGCCCCGGGACCTGCGCACTGCAGACACTGTCTTCCTTGGCTTTCTCCTGGTTACGTTCCGTTTCAGGGCTGTGCCTTTTAGAACCACTGAGCAAAAGGTTCAAACAGGCCATCACGCTTTGATGAAAGCCCCTTCCAGCCAATTCAAACACTCAATGGGGTCTTATACTGAGTATTTCACACCTTATACAATTCTTAGATTTTTTTTATTTGAACAAATTTATGAGAAAACATCATATTTTGGTCACTAAATACACTTGCTATTTAATATTTAAGTTCAAGGCAGGTTTTGCCCAACAGCTTTCTGATTGGTGGTCCGGGTAGGCTGCTCCTTCACTGTAGTTACATGTCAGGAGACCCCCCCCCCCCCAAGTACTCGATTTTTTTAAAGATATATTCTTATCACGTGCTTATTTTAATGTTTATCTCATTGCCGTATGAAAGTGATGTTGTGGACTTCCTACTTTTTAAATTAAATGACACATTTTAGTGAGTTCTGTTTGAAGAGTGGCCTTCACACTCTGGCTGTGATCTTTCTGTTCTAAAGTCACCGGGTTGTATCTATTTGCTCTCTGTGAACACAATTCAATTAATGTAAGAATCAAGCTCCCTATTTATTGACTTGTTTATTTGTCGTCCAAACTTTGGGCTACTTGTTTACGCAGCTTTTCAGATTCTGGCCACAGCACTGGAGAATGAAATTAAACAGTGACAAAATGACACAGCCTGTCCCATGGAGAAACCTACAGGACAGACACACAGAAGACCCACAGAGCAGGAGGGGTTTCTGCTCTAGGCTCCATGGGGACATGATGTAACAAGCACCCATGCTCTTGAAGGAACGGTGGAAGGCTGTGCCGTTAAACAGGCTGATGATTCCGAAAGGTGTGCAGAAAGACCAGGTTGCAAGCGTGGAGGAATGGTGTTGGAGGTCATGATAGCTAAGAAAATTAGACTTGCTCTAACATAATCTACGGACCCACTCAGTAGTTATGAAGCCCGGCACACGGAGGACCGTGCACCTTACTAAGATGGACTGCATGCTATTGTATTTTGAAACCAAAGAATCACGAAATTTGGAGAGCAAGCCATGTTTACAAAAGAGAAGATTACTCTGGTGGCAAAAAAAAAAAGAGGCAATTTTTGTGCAGGAGGGAGAGGGAAAAAAAAAAACCTCAAGGCAATGGGAAGGAATGTGAGTAAAAGGGTGGCTGTCTTGGTTCAGTAGTGACATAAGGTTTGTTCTCCTATCTATGGTTTCTTCACCTGCAAATTCAGCAAACTGTGAACAGATAATATTAGTAAAGAAAATTCATCTTCAGTTCACCCATACACTTTCTTGCCACTCTTCCTTAGATAATCACTTAAGCAGCCTATACATTTCAGTTACATTATATTATGTATTATAAATAATTTGGTTAAAATTTGATGCATGTGGAAGCATGTTCATAGGGTACATGCGATTATAACTTTACTTAGGAAATTGAGCATTCAAAGATTTGGGTATACGTTGGTGTCCTGGATCCAATCTCCTGTGCACACCAAAGGATGGCATATTCTCAATATTATGTCATCTGTATTCAAATCACTTTTGTTTGGTACAAACTAAATCTGAGGATTTTCACACGTGCTTAAAAAATTTAATCCATATGTCCAGCCCATCAGATAAGGACTGTATCCATTCGGAATATGGAGAAACTGAGGCTTCGGGCAGTTGACACTACCAAAAGCAACAATTCTCACAGAGCCAAATTGCCCAACCAACATTCGAATGGTTGAGTACTAAGGTTTTTATTGTAGTACCTATGTATCGGCTGCAATGAAAGGCGGTGGGGCTTACTGGAAAGAGGAATAAAATCAGCATAGGATAGGGACTGATTTTGATTTCTTTAGAGTGTTTCACTCTGTAGCTCAGGCTGGTCAGGGACTCTCTGTGTAGGTCAATCTGACTTTGAACTCACGATTCTCCTGCTTTTGCCTTTCCAAGTGCTGGTATCTGGCATCTCAGGGGTACTTCCATGCCTCGTCTGGATGTTCATATTCTCTCGTTGTCTGCCCCCGTGTGTCTCCTTCCTTCCTCCCTCCCTCCCTCCCTCTTTCCCCCTTCTTCTTTTTCTTTCTCTTTCTTTCTGTACCGGGGTTTGAACCCAGGACCTAACACTATGTGTGTTGGTTTATACTGTACTCTTGAATTACTTTGAGACAGTTGCTTAATTTCTCTGCAGCCCACTTTCTGTGTGTACTGTTTTCCCTCAAAGCCAAATTCTGTGAATTTGTGAACTGAATTTGAGTCTACTTAGAATGCTGGTCATTCTGATGAATTTGATTTTGATAGGAGAGATAGAGGAGTTATTCACTCCTGAGGGAAAATAGAAGAGATGGCAGGGAAACCATTTTTAAGTGTCAAATTTAGAAAATACCATGAAGAAAATATTCAGAGTTTTTACACATAGGGGAAAGCATATAAACATATTTCACATAATCTCAAATCATGGTGTGTGTGGGGGGGATGTGTATTTTGTGACTTTTTTGCCAATAAACATGATGATGAAGGGTTCACCTGTTGAGGAAGAAAGTCCAGAGTGGAAATTTTGTTTTGTTTTGCAAATTAGTTTCACAGGTGAGCAAATGACAAACCCATCTAACTGATCTTTCTTGTAGACAGTTTACTGCTGATTAAAATAAATAATTACAAGGTCACAGATTTCAAGAATCAGCGACAGATAACGAAACATTACCATGAAAGGTAAATTTGCTTAAGGAAAACACAGAAACTGTGAAGTGTACTGGATTCTGACCTTTAGGAAAATTGCTGGTTTAAAATCTACAGGCTCGAAAAAACAAACAAAGAAACAAATCCACAGGCAACTAAGGGCTTTCGTCTCAACACCTCACGGGTTGGATTAGCAAATCCTGCTAACTGTAGATATCTTTTTTTTTTTTTTAATGAACTTCTCTGTGCAATGCCATACCTCAGGGGAGATGTCTGTAATTCCAAACTGCCGTAAATTCTGCTGCAAAACATCGACGTTAAGTGAACGCAGCACTTCTTCAGCCTGCAGGGCTTGCGGGTCTCCCTGTTTCCCGTTCACAGGAGATACAAACAACTCAACTTGGTGCTTCTTTTCCTGGTGAACACCGTTGGGGTATGTTAAAGACAACCGGAAAACAGTGGGGAAATGTGCACCTGTTCCTTACGAACACTGAAGTCAGGTTTCGAGAATTAAGTCATGGCAGAGAACAATGTGAACTGACTAATCACTCACAGAATTTCTGTAGCCAGTGTGAAATACAAAATTTTCGAATGGCCTGACTTTGGTTAGTTAGCACTCAGAATGTGAAATTTCATATTTCACTAGATAATCACTTATTGTTGGTCTCAAATTTTAATTATATATATATATATATATATATATATATATATATATATATATATATCTGTTCTTAATTTCAGAAGGTATCCTGATGGTTACATTGGCTAACATAGGCTGACCCTGATGTCTGCATCCTCCTGCCTCAGCCTCCTTAGTGCTAGAATTACAGGTGTGTACTAACTTACCATATATTTCTCAGATGCTTCCTGAATACTTATGCTTAAAGACATAGTTTAAAGTCAAATGAGTTAGATAAATCCTGGACTGGAGAGATGGTTCAGTGGTTAAGAGCACTGGCTGCTCTTCCAGAGGTCTGGAGTTCAATTCCAGCAATCACAACCATCTGTAATGAGATCTACCACCCTCTTCTGGGCAGGGAGGCATACATGCAGGCAGAACATAGTATACAGAATAAATAAATCTTACTTAAAAAAAAAAAACCCGAGCACTGGTCAGTGGTGGCACATGTTTTCAATCCCAGCATTTGGGAGGCAGAGGCAAGTGGGTCTCTGAGTTTGTGGCCAGCTCTGGTTTACAGAGTGAGTTTCAGGACAGGCTCCAAAGCTACAGAGAAACCCTGTCTCAAAAAAACAAAAACAAGGAGAACCCAAAGAAAAACATATAGGCATCCTCCTGAATATTAACCTTCAGCAAGCGATGAAAGGAGACAGAGACAGAGACCCACATTGGAGCACAGGACTGAAATCTCAAGGTCCAAATCAGGAGCAGAAGGAGAGAGAGCACGAGCAAGGAACTCAGGACCGCGAGGGTTGCACCCACACACTTAGACAATGGGGATGCTCTACTGGGAACTCACCAAGACCAGCTGGCCTGGGTCTGGAAAAGCCTGGGATAAAACCGGACTCTCTGAACATAGCGGATAATGAGGACTACTGAGAACTCAAGAACAATGGCAAAGGGTTTCTGATCCTACTGCACACACTGACTTTGTGGGAGCCTAGGCAGTTTGGATGCTCAACTTACTAGACCTGGATGGAGGTGGGGGTTCCTTGGATTTCCCACAGGACAGGGAACCCTGATTGCTTTTCGGGCTGAGGCGGGGGGGACTTAATTGGGAGAGGGGGAGGGAAATGGGAGGCGGTGGCGGGGAAGAGACAGAAATCTTTAATAAATAAATAAATTAAAAAATTTAAAAAAAAACAAAAACAAAACAAAAACCCAAAACAAAATAAACAAACAAACATGGCATGCTTCTATAAAACTATATCTACAAAAATAGGTAATATGGTAACTCATCAGTCATGGAGACTTTGATGATGAAAAGCCATTTTGAATTCTGAGAATGTGAAAGTTTGCTCCTTACAATGAGACGGTTGATGTGCACTTGCTGGGGTAAGAGTCCCAACGCTGCCGCTACTCCTTGGCGGAAGATCCGAAGCAAGGTTATGTTCAGCTTGGTTATATCCATTTGCAGTGTCTGGAAAACAAAGACAGAAAATATACAAGCTCAAGTGAACACTGCATTTTGGACAGCCAGTTCGTCACTTGTATCTGGCTACAACAGTTTGGGAGTGTTTGTAAATTCACATTTCGGGTGCTAATATTGATACAAATAAAATCATAGGCAAACTTTATGTGAAATTTTACATGGTATTAGTTAAAACATGGCACATAATGCAATAAAACAATTCATCTAGTTATTTAAAAACATAAGTAAAATGGTCACTTTAAAATGAATTCCATTGCAATCTGGCTTAATCTACTTTGCTCTTCTTTTAGATGAAAGAATGAAGTCTGTGGCCAAGCCTGTTTCTAAGCTGAAGTCACCAAGAAGGATGCTATGTAAGTTCCATAAGGCTTGAGCTGGCAGTTTCTGTATATAGCAATCTGCTGCCAGCGCCAGGCAAACAAATTGAGGCGCAGTACGTATTTACTCTGGTGGAGAAGCCGGTGATACTAATGATGTGATCTAAGGTAGACTGTGCTCATTCATCGCTTGGGAAAACACTCCTAACAAGTCTAAACAGTAAAACGTTCCAGAGTTACAAGCCACCTTGTGATAGTAGTAATACAGCCTAAGACAGCAGCGCTTTGCTGTACTTAAACCAGGGAGGAATTTACTGTGTTTTCGAAATTGGAGCATGAGGCTCGAAGAGTTGGTTCAGCAGAGGAAAACACTTCAGGCTTATACAAAGGACCCAGCTTCGGTTCCCAGCCTTTGTATCAGCAGCTCACAACCACCTATAACTCCAGCTCCAAGGGATCCCACACCTCTTTCTGGCCTTCCTAGGCACCTACACAAAAGTAACATGCACACACACACACACAGAGAGGGGGGGAAAGAGAGAGAGAGAGAGATAGATAAGGAGAGAGAGAAATAGATAGAGATAGGGAGAGAGAGATAGGTAGGGAGAGAGAGAAATAGAGATAGATAGGGAGAGAGGGAGATAGGGAGAGAGAGAAAGAGATAGAGATAGGGAGAGAGAGAAATAGAGATAGGGAGAGAGAGAGATATCTTAAAAACCTGCCTCATAGTGATTCAAGGTAAGTACTTCTAAGAAAAGGAAACTGAGTCTTATGCATTTCCTGTATTCTATTACTGTTGAGTTCATTGCTTTGAGGGGAGTAGATTAGTATAGCTAATGTTGGATGGCTCTTCTCATCCATCTGTTGAAGAGATTGCTTCGCATCTATAATCTACTCTAGGGTAAGGAATCTTGAAGGGGGGACTCTCTCAACTGACTTTAAAAAGGGAATGATGGAATGACATTGCTTTGAGAATTTGTAGGCCTGCTAGGAAGTAATATATCCCCTACATACAAACCTTGTGAGGCTAAATGATTGGAAACGGCCAAGTGCTTGATGTGACAGGAACAGGGGTATTAACAGTTTGGGAATATAAACAGGTGTAATGGGTCCCAGTCAAAGTGGTAGGCTCACCTACTTTCTGGACTGTATTTCTACCTTAGGGTATTTTAATGCCTGCATAGGGTGGGGGCCCTCTATCTTGTTACAGAGGTGAGCAAATTGAGGCTTGAAGCAGAGCAGAGGCTCTAAAAGATTCCGCCTGGTAACACACATCCGCTCACTTCTGGGGAAGGCAAAAGGAGAATTTCAACAGGAATGGTCTGAAAAGCTGTATCAACACCATCAGCAACACTTTCAAAACAATCATACATCTGTGTCTGTGCTATCTATTGTGAAAGAACAGAAATATGTTGCCTTGGGGTTATGGAGATAAGAGTTTAGATCAAAGTATGAGTAGAGCCTTGTTCCCTCACTTGTCTCCAAGGGAGAATCTTCCTTGTCTTCTAGTTTCCATTGTTTGGGGAAAAATTTGGGTATTGCTTGCCCCGCAGTGCTAGCTTTCGCCTGAAGCATCACATGGTTGTTCTGTGACTCTCCCCTCTTTAAGTAGCGGTGTCCAGTTTTCTCCTTCTATCAGGGCTGATCATATCGAATAAGGAACTCTCCCTACTCTAGTATGAGTTTAATAAATTATACTCGCAATGATCCTACTTCTAAATAAACTCATATTTGTGGTATTAGGGAGTTAGAACTCCAACGTAAGGATCTTGAGGGGATAAAATTAAACTACACATAAGGACTAAGTCAGAATTCTTAGAAAAGAAATTGCCAGGTTTTAGCCAGGGAATTAACTAAGGGTCTCAGTGTTTTTGCTGCTTTCTCTGGCTGTAAGTCTATGCAAACTGCAGATTCAGCTGAGTCCTGGGTGTTCACCCCTGAGAAGAGCTACTCTTGGAGAACTGATTGGATAGTCAGACAAAGCCATTAGTGAAACACTTTAACATAAAAGTGGTGTGCAATCTTGATCTCAGTCTAGGTAAAGGGAGAGGTTGAAGAACACAGCCACAGTTTAAAAGGATTCTTCTATAGACAAAAGTCTGTCTCGCCCCGCCCTTCAGTCATTCGCTCCCAAAGAAACAAATACAGGCTTATATTAATCATAAACTGTTTGGTCTGATAGCTCAGGTATATTAACTAGCTCTTACAACTTAAATTCACCCATAGTTCCTGTCTATGTTCAGACACATGGCTTGGTACCTTTTCTCAGTAAGGCATTCCCATCTTACTTCCTCTGCATCTGGCTGGTGACCGACTCTCTGCCTTTCCTCTTTACAGAATTATCTTAGTCTGGTTGCCCTGCCTAGACTTCCTGCCTGGCTACTGGCCAATCAGTGTTTTATTAAATCAATGAGAGTGACAAATCTTTACAGGATACAAAGCATTATCCCACAGCATTGTCCCCTTGAGTGTTCACTACATCCTGTCACTACAGTTTCTACTGAACTTGGGGTTTGTGTCTTCTATCTTAATAAGATGTGACCCTCTTCTTTCAGAGAGTGATTCTTTATGGCATGAAAATCATGTAATGGCAGCTGCAGAGATGGCTCAACAGTTAAAGGCGTGTACTGCTTTTGCAAGAGACCCAAGTTTGGTTCCCAGCATCCAAGTCAAATCACCAGTGACGCTAGCTTCTTTTGGCCTTGCTGTGCACTTCACTCATGTTCGTATATACTCTGACACAGATATCTGCATATACACTTAATTTAAAAAATAAAACATTTAAAGCTCATGTAGTGATCTGTATGTGTTTGTATATCATTTACTGTGTTTTTAATCGCTTAAAGCTGCTTCCTGTAAGTCAATAACAATTTAATATAGAAAGTAAAACTTGAGTTAAGCCTTCAAGGACCAGCAGGATTTAGATACCAGTGGCAGTTTTCAGTTTATAGTTAGCCTATAGTTTCAAGCTTAATTCCTTTTTCTACCTACTAAAACCCAGTTTACCTGATAGCTCCCAATAACAAAGACTTCCTTTCCTCCTAAAGCCTGCCATGTAAACTGCTGGCATATGGAAGCTGTTGCTAGATCTCAGAGACTATATGACTGCTATTTACGTGACTAAAGGTAGAAGTCTCAGCTAACATCCCGGAAACACTGATGAGGAGCCACTGAGTTCTGGCTTGCCCACTGTGTTTTTCAGGCAGGCTGAGTAGGCAGGCACTGTCTCTGGTCCCCAAGGGCAGGATTTGGAGTTGCAATCAACCCTGGGAACTGAGAGACAAGGGGGTTGTGTAAACCCTTGAGAGCTCAATTCCCAGGGCCATGATTAACAGAGGCTTGTCACTGTGGAAACGGTATTAAAGTCTCAAATGGGAAGTAAAATAGGAACTCAAGATTAAAATCACTCAACAAAACAACTTTGTAAGATGGTAAAAGCTGTGCCTTTGAACCAGAAATTTGAATGACCCAGCTAAATGCACAGAGGTAATCAGCAGAAATTAGAACCCTCTGGCTTGCTGCAGCAAACATTTGAATAATTTGCCTCTGATCTCTGCTTGTCTGGAAGACTTGGATTGATTCCACAGAGCAGGCATGGACCTCTGACGATTACCCCATAAACTAAGTGATGCTAAAGTATAGATTAAATAGATATATGTCTATTTGGGGTCCTCATACATGCCAGACAGAATGTGAGTACAAGTTTGGAAAAAAGAAAGGATTCTTAACCAATTGACAATTTTATTCCCAACAGAAGAGGAGCATGGCTTCCTGTAATTAATGAGTACATGCCACCTACATCTTTGTGAATAGGTGTTGGAAGCATTTAGGTCCTTCTGTGCTGTTGCATATAGATTTGAATGAGATAAAGCAGAAATTTCTAAGGCATATAATAAGGCTATAGCTTCATTTTAAAGTTACCATAAAATAGCTTGCGGTATATTTTAGTCTGAATTCTAAGACTCACTTGGTTGTTTTATGATTAAAGATTTCCTTTTCAGGGAGAAATGGAAATTCTAAATGGGAACGTTAAGATATTTTATAGCAATCAGTCACTCACACAGTTGCTATGTTCATGAGTTTGGATCTAAAATGTCCCTCAGAGGCCACATGCTAATGATTTAGTGACCTGGTCCTGAGCCTTAATAAGTGGAGCCTAATGGGAGGAAGTTAGATCAAGCTGACATGTCCTTGGAGAAGTCCCCAAGCTCTAGCCCCTTCTCTTTCTTTGCTTACTTACTGTCTCCAGGTTTTGAGTAATTTATACTATACCATTGTGCAAAAGCCCCCAAAGCAATAGGCCAACTGACCATGGGCTGAAACTTGCAAAAGTGTTATAGTAACAGAAACTAACATGTTACATAAGGGAAAATTGGGTGCTAAATCCCTAAAATCCTTGAGAGAAATCCTGTTTCCCCATAGTCGCAAAGAAGTCTACTTTGTTAAGCACCCCCTTCTTGGTCTCAGTGAGTCTCTATTCCTGACTCTATTCTCAGTCATTAAACCCCTGTATTTGGTTAGGATTTGTATTGGCAAGTGATTTCCAGAACAAATTTTCTATTGTGTCTTTGAAGCGTTTGTAGGGATACTCAGTCCTGTCTTACCACTCTGTGTTTGCCGTTTGCTTCTGTTTACATCTGCACTCCACATTTCTATTCTTCTCTGTTGTGT